ATATTGATGGGATAAGCAAGGGTTTGATGAAAGTCCCTTCAAGAACGTTTCTTTAAGTTGGGTCGCCACAAGATGCTTGTGAGAGGCTGAAATATTATGTCCTGTACGACATTAATGACCTTTTGAGTGTGCAACAAGGTTCCGGTTTGTACGATCTTATCCGAAGGACAGGACCCAAGATCATGAAACAAGACTTTAATTCAAGTTAATTTTCAATGAACTATCAGATGTTTATTAAATGTCTTTTTATTCTCTTAATTTGCACATTTTCTACTCTTATGCGGGACCCGTTTAGTGCCTTTGAAGCAGGTTCATTCTTGAGTCTTTTGATTTTGTTAGCTGTTGTATCAAATGATGATGCATATACTACATGTATATGACTCAATTAAACAGAAAGAGATTCCTTAAAAATTACATAATTTATTCAATCCAGGGACGGATGTTTCGATATAATTTGTTTCGCGTGAGGCATACCTTACAATCATGTACTTTATCAATATATTCTTTTGGGGAAGCTTTAATTTGATATCTCGATTTATACTGAAAGGAAAAAGAAACGCAGGGTAAACTTTTGAGGTGAATTAAATTTGTTTTTCTTGAAATACTCTTTAGATTTCCTATCTACCTTTTAAAATCATCCTTCAAAAAGATATAACCAAATTCTCATATGATTTTGTCTAATTATTCATAAGTTATTGAAGCTCAAATGAGGATACCCCCCAAAAGTGAAAATCGAAAACTCTCATTATCTTCAATGTCTATCTCGTGCATTTGTCAGCGTCTTATTTCTCCTTTGCATGGAATTTCATCAGAGTGTTTATCTTTCAAATCCTGGCTATATTTAGCATGGGTAACCACGCCAAAAATAAGTCAAATGGCGCGCGCATGCGCCAGTGAGAGGAATTCAACCGTAAGTTGACTGGCTCTAAAAACCAAATTGCAGAATTGTTTTCTTTCAAATTTCGTATGAATGTAATGATTATAATCATCTACTCTATAAATGGCTGTTTTTGTGGCAGTAAGGTGGCGATTTAAGAGATGGCAGGACGAATAACCCGCTCCTAACATGACTCTGTTTCGCGTTACCGTCATCGTCACGGTTGATTGAAAACCACTCCGGACCTTCTCTGACAACGGCTAAAACGTTTTATGGGGGAAAATTTACAAGAGACTGCTTAGTAAACTGTTGTTGTCTTTTTCATTAATTACGCAATTCGAAAACAAGACCCCATTGAACTTCTGTAAACTGTGCCAAGATTGCAATAAATTCATAATGTCTCTTAATATTGAAAAACGATGTGCATACCTCATATGCATCAAATAATGCAACAAGATTTGTTGACAAACTCGTCGTTATCAAATTGCACGTGTTTTGGGCTTTTTAGCGTTTTCCTTACGTGACGTCATAAATTTTACGGTTGAGTAATTCTGAATATTGATTTTCATGCACAGTAGCTAAATTTCCCTTCTGACCAATTTTCGTAATTTTCGGTCATGTGGTCAAATTTTTATCGAAAATTATGCTACCCTGCGTTTCTTTTTCCTTTCAGTATATTAAGATTGTACAAATTCATTCCTATGTATAACGTCACCTACGTGTACCCATATAAGTTTCCTAGAAAATGTTAGATTAAATTTAAACAGACAAACAATTGAGCAGTTTTGAAAGGATTTACTCTGGTCTGTTTTTACTAATAGCACCTAAAAACTGCATTCTGTGGGAGATATTGACATATTCTGAACCTTTGAGCTGAGATAATCATTTTAACTTGCAGATTTAGTGAAGAGGATCATTCAGCAATATAAGCCTACGTGATGTACAAACAACAAAACATGATGTAACCATCAACTGTCGCCCGGAAAATATTTAAAGTAAACAATGGAAATTAATGACTCTTGGTCATCAGACCGCTTCGATATGTGTGAAAAGGCATACGTCAAATTGATGGAGACGATAGTCGCGAATATTTGGAAAACTTATAGTCGGATAAATGTCAATCAAACGATACCGTTTTAAATTTCAATTCCTCGAGTAAATGTTGGCTGCATAAGATATAAATTGAAGTTAGACACATGCATCACCTATATTCAAAAATGTATTTAATTTTCAATTTTAGAATACCAGTATATAAAATACGAACTGTGCAGAGTACGTTTTTATGCGAGAAGTAAAATTCGATGTTCTAAAAAAAGGGACCTGTCGTTTTTTCGATAAAAAATGATAAACAACTTTATATATTAAATATGAAAAACATATATATTTTTACAGATTCACTTTATGGAAGTAAATATATTATGTATCTCGTAATTTATAAAGGGAAAGAACATTCTGATTAACAATCTTTGCAATGTTTAGAAAACCTTTAATTTTGAATAACTACTCCCACCCCAATCCCCATATACCAACACTTAAACTTATATGTATAGAGCAGCCCGGTCCTCCGAGCTGCAATATCGACAGTGTCTTAATTCTTCCAGAAACTATATACTACGTTAATGCTCATTGGATAGGTTTAGACTGGCTTTTTGACCCCTGGAACTTTTAGTGGGTCTGTCGGAATGATGCGATTGTTCATAATTTAAAAGCTGTTGTCATCCCTGTTATAAGTAGTGTATTGATTTAAAGAAATATGATACACAGATGTCTCAGAAAGGTCACAAAATTTGATTTGTCAATTTCACATCTTTTTCTTTGTTTTATATACAGTTTTCAACTATTTTTTTAAATTAGAAAACATAAAGCACATGCTAGTCTATTTACCCACATGTAATATATATTTTTTATCAGATAGATCCTTATGAAAATTTAGATGGGAAGCGTGCACTTTGTGAAAGTGTCTTAAATTAGAGCTTTTAAGAATTCCTATTGCAGCACTGTTACATGTAAAGATATACTAGAATATATAAAGGTGTCGCTGACGCGATGTGGTTGCGGCTCTTTAGTCGAAGGTGTCGGGTCTAATTTAAAGGGGAATTGCTAACAATCATTGACATTTTGAAAAAAATTATAAATTTATACAATTTCTAAAATTCCAGAAAATGAAATCATTTGATGATATAAACCAGGTTTAAAAGTACATGTACCATGAAATAATATACATGTATAAAGATGTAAACGAGAAGCGCATAGCACTTTGGTTACATGTAGAGCGTTGCTTTTTTGGCCCACGAAGCATCTTCACTAACCAAGAGTTTCCGATTCGAAATCTTAGTGCTTGGCTAGCGAAGATGACCGCGGAGAAGAAGTTGATCCTTACAAAGCAGGATCGGATCCCACTGCGGGGGGTTGGGAGCGTTCCTTTGGACGAGACCGTATAAGGTGACGTCAAAAGTCGCACGAAAAAGATCCTGCTCAAAAGCCCTATAAGTGCCGAAAACAGGTGCAAGCATCTCCCCTACACTTGGTGGTGTCTTCTCAAAACGAGTAAGACATTTTCGAAAGGACATTAAACGAACAAACGGATCATCTTTGCCAGGGCGTCATCATTGTAAAATAAGACGCACATTATGTGCTGATATGTTTGACCAAGTCACTTAATTGGTGAAAAGTGGGTTTGCTAAATGTACACTGTTTGGCGAAATGAACCATATTCCAACACCACTTTTTGCTTCTTTTTAGCAAAAATCATTCTGTAATGTTCAGAACATAACTCAATATGTGTGCGAGTCTTCATCTCCTTGCAGAACTGATGATCCCTGCAGAAGGTTACAGGATACTAATTTTACCCCTATTTCATTGACCACGCAAGTAGTACATGTACCAGTTTTAAAACAGAGTTTTTGTTTTGTTTTTTTTAAATCTTGGGGGTGTATATATATACTATATGGGGTGGAATTGGGTTATTTTAGGGAATAGATGGAAAGGAGAGGGTCTGAAAAAAAATATAAAATTAAGAATAATGGGAATTTTACTATTAAGTGCGTAGTAGGAAGGGTGTAAAAAGGTCATTGTTTACCTGTTTCTCAAAGGGAAATGGAAATATGCAGGGTAGGGGTTAATTGCGGTGCCATAGCAAGGCTTGTAGACTACGGAATTTTCTGAGATTTGAGAATAAGTTTGGCCTTGAATTGAACTAGCTCTGTGCCAAATTTCAGATGAGTTGAGGCGGTGAATTTTTTAAATGATTTTTTATGTTGTAAAGGAATGTATAGCAAAATAATTGGTAGTCCGTGTCCAGAAAATTTTACAGATCGGAGAGCTAGGAGCCATCTTCTATCCATAGAAAAATCAGTATATTGTTTGATAATTGGACACAAGAAAGCACTAGGTTCTAATTGTCTTGCCATCAGACCGGATAAATATTTTACGATATTTCGGATTGCCTTCATTTCAGAACCAAGGGGGAGGAGGAGCTATGAACAAGGGTTATGATAGCTGCATAACTGTAGCGTTATGATTCTTTAAATATTCATCTTTTACCATACCTCTATAGATCCTGAAATGCAAAAATTGTGCAATTTACGAAGCAAAAGTTTCTACGCACGGTTGTATGGGAGAATTCCTCCACTTTTCAGCATCACCCAATCAACTACCTTTCATTTACTAATTGATGATATTTTGTAATGTAACCATATTTTATCCACTTTCTGACCCTTTTTATTCGTCTTTACAGACCCATAAACTCTCTTGTTGTGAATTTGTTGTTGGTTGGCAGAAAATTCAAGACAAGCAATTTTTGTTTGTCTGTAGAGAAGATTATGCTGAAAAATTGAGAAATTCTCCCAAACCGTGCGCTGAAAATATGGATCTGTAGCGTTATGGTCAAAGACAAATACATACAAAAAGATTTAAATCGAGAGACAGCTCATTTTTTCTGTGTGCAGTAAACGTACATATTCACGTTTTTCAATGGGTGGCACTGTATGTAGCTCCCTGGTCCTCCATCCAGATATCTTTTCAGACCAGTGAGCTACAGATCTGCAGTCTTGTCGAGGAAGAGGAAATATGTGCTGTCTGATATATCCGCGGAGGAAATGTAAATTGAAACTAAAACGATACAATGGTTTAAAACTTTAATGGTAAAAATATATGCAATACATTCAATGTTAATATAGTAGAAGGTTCACGTTGGATTTACAATTACAAGATCTTTTTTCCCAGTTATTCATCCAAGTGTGCCAAATACAGTTACTGATTTCTTAATTATCTACATCAGACACGGCATATATTCTTTGCTCATACACACAATACACGGACATAAATAATTTATTTTTATTCTAGTCATTTTCAGACCCTCTTATTAGATTTAAGGTTTTAAAAACACATGAACTCTCTGAATTCCATTCCCTCTGTAGTGTTGTTTCCAGTTAGTGGCGAGATACGGGTATCTTATTTTCCCATACCACCTCCCAGCATTGTATCTTATATAGTCTTTTTCATTATCATACATTACTCCAATTGTCATTGAAGCCCCTTTCTTTGCAACACACCATGCCCTGGCGATCGCTATGATATCTCCCCAGGGGTTTAGTCCGTCACCATATCTACCTAGTCCAGAATGTTCCACAGAGCTAAATGTTACCACAGCGTCAAATTCACCAAGTGTATTATTAAGAAAAGCCTTCCTAAATTCCCTAGGAATGTAAGCTTTAATTTGCGGATGCAGGGATTTAATTTCTCCATATTCAAGAGTAACAACTTCTTTCGCGCCAGCCTCCAGTACGCATGCCTCAACCCATGGACTCTCGGATCCTATGACTAAGACGCGCCCACCTTTGACGCCAGGAGCATGCTGTAATCCATCTCTTAATGCGTTTGTTTCAGAACTTCCATAAGCCCCACCTAAAATTCCTCTCTTTGCTAGAGAGATCTGTTGTTCTACACTTTCTCTTGTCCATACTGGTGTTCTACTCTTTGTGTTGAGATATGGCATATTGAAGTACCACTCCGTCACTGGCAGTTGAAAATTCATTGTGTAGTCTTTAAGAAGTCTATCTGGAATCTTCCTTGGTGCTACTTTCAAACCATGTCCTTTGTCAATAAATTCATTTTTAAAAATTGCTTCACAGTTTATTGGTGCTGTCACGTGGTTAAAATACGGACCAGGTGTGCCAGGTCGCGACGTATTGCAGAGCTGCCCACAGTCTCTTCGTATCTGTTCTATTTCTCCATACGGAATTCCGTCCTCAGTTTTTGGAAGAGCAACAGTTACTGTTTTATATACAGTTCTATCAACTTTTGGGTCGGAGACGGATAATATGTTCACATATTGTGTCCAGTTTTTTCGTGGCACAAAAAACATGAATCCGGCCACCAAAAGAACTACTGCAAACACGCTGTATTTGTGACGTGAAGCATGTATGTTGGTCATCATTCTGAAAACAAAATAGAAATGTCATTACATTTTATTTCAAAAGCACTTTAAACTTAATGCCTTATCCAATTGAAGGGCTCATTGAGATTTTCTGATTTATTTTTTCGTCTGTCTGTTAACTTCTTACATTTTTAATTTCTTCTCCAGGCCCAAATTCAATCATATACTAGTAGTTGACACACACTAGAAAGCTCTATATAAAATATCTCATGTGAAGCCAGGACCAAACAGACTTCCATTTGGAGAAAATGTCAAAAATTAAAATAGGGTATGAACATTTCTCAATCATGTCAAGAATCACATGGTCACAGAAAATGAAAAATCCGAAACTTTCATTCAATTCTGAGGCTATTGTTAATCTTTTTCTAAAATCATTAGCTAAGGGCTAAAATTGATGGTCATATTTTACGAAGAATACGAATGTTTAAGAAAAAAATCTTCAGATCTGCGAATAAAGAACATTACTGTACAGTGAATTAGCTGACTTGCAATATTCCACAGCTGCAGAGCTCTATCTTGATTGCAGAACACTATATGGTGGTTACAGTATAATTCAAAAGTTTTTTAAGCCTGGTTATGATAATATAAATATGTTTTTTATACCATATACGTCCAGGAGTTTTATATGCTATGAAACATGCAGAGTCGACAAGTATAAATACATTACATTGTATTGAAACAGAAAAAAACACACAGTGCTCGGTAGTATACATTGTATATATACTTGACCTCTTTTCTGCATATCTTGATTTGTAAAAAAGTTAATTAATGCACATCATAAGTGTTAGCCGTTCTCTATATAGGATGTAACATGTAAATATGTTGTGAAAAAAAATGTTTATGTACATGTTTTAGTAGACATTATACTAAACAGAAACTATAAGTTACTAGTATTTACATGAAATATATGGGGATAACGAACAGTATTCAAGCTCAAAAGTCCATAAAACAATACAAAATAGGAGCAGAGCAAACACGGACCCCCGAAACATCAGAGGTGGGATCAGGTGTCATGGAGGAGTGAGCATCCCCTGCCGACCGGTTGCGCCCGCCGTGTGCTCTTTGTCATGATCGGGAAATAACGGGAAAATCCGTCGTCAATTCAATGTATAAATAATAAACTAAAAATTAGTATGAAAAACGTCAGTCAGCATTTTACTCAATGATAAATTGTATTTGCTGACAAGGACATTGTATCGACCATAGAACTTTCTGAATGAAATGATGTATCAGTCTAGCTCTTTGTCCTTTGTATCCTCCAAAGTTAAAATCACCGTTTAAATATGAATATGGTAAAAAATAAACTCACTTTATGTCAAGTACAAAAAATACAGTTATCTCCTTAAGTAGTACTATCAAATATAATTAAGCCATGTTCAAAACTAAGAAATCGACAAGTCACAGAACTTGGGCATCATAACAGAAAAATCTTTAACTTCGTTTAATCTAAATTATTAATAATTAAATAAATGAATTGAATACTGGCAAAACATATTTCTTTTAAGACCAAACAGAATATAATTTTTGACTTAAATTGGACAGAAAGCTCTCTTGATGTAAAGCAAGAATCTCGACATAAATACTCGTAAATGCTATTTGTTTTTAGCTTCCATGAGGTACATATATACCAGTACATGTAATAAATTTTCATGGACCGTTTAATGCGGGGACATGTAATAAATTTTCATGGACCATGCGGGGATCAGGGGACACCCTTATCCTGGGATATTTGCTTAACAAACTTTTTCCCGTGAGTCAGGCTAAAAATGAGGGTGACTTCTGGGAATGGCACCTCACTTCTGCATTAAATTTTAAATGTTTCTGTTTACATGCATTGCGGCCATGTTGGAGCTATAAATGCGGAAGAGTGAAAAACAAAACAAAAACAAAGAAACAAATCATTGGCGATTTTGTACAAGTACAGTTTCCCCGAGTCAATTGTATGAATTGCCTCTCCATTTGCCCTGATCTTTCTTTTTCTAATTTTTTTTTTTTTTTTGGTATTTTTACACCGTCCTTAGAAAATGAATTATTATTATTCTCCAAAAGTTACATACCTACTTGGTTTATCTGTAATCTTCAGCTCTGATTGTACTTGTAAATTAAGAATCGCCCTAACTCTAGGAAACGACACTCTACTGGTTTATTTCTCCATGTATGAGACTTGTAATTTACAGTGAAGACAACCGACAACTGAGATGATGGTTAAGACGGAAACTGAACTGTGTCGGAAATTAACGCTATATACAATCTAGATTGTACGGTTACCTAGGGAACCCTCAATTGTGAACACTTAAATCACTATTCGGGTTTAAGGAATTAATACAAATTTTATTAAATTATAATGACCTTGCTGGTCAACTGCGCCCCCCTGCTATGCTCCACAAGGAACGAAGGGGACTAATGCGCCCCCTGCTATGCTCCACAAGGAACGAAGGGGACTTATGCGCCCCCTGCTATGCTCCACAAGGGACGAAGGGGACTAAGTTAGTAGATCAAATGCTGTTAACATTTATACATCATTCTTAGAATCATATTATTAAAATTTCGAAAACAAGATCTGTTAAAAGTTATTAACAAAAATGATCCATGATTTTTTGCAATATTTTACATGCACAGGTTTAAACTATGATCATATCTAAATAGCTTGTATTGAATTATATGTAAGATGCATATAAATTGTCTTTTTATGCACCCGGATCGATAGATTCGGGGCGTATATTGTTTTTGTCCTGTCTGTCTGTCTGTTTGTTTGTCTGCAACCTTCACCATAACTTTTGAACCATGAAAGATAGAGACTTCATATTTTGTATGCATACTCTTTCAAATGACACAAAGGTCAATGACCTTGTGAACTTGACTGTGACCTATATGCTAAAATTAGCATTTTTGAACCCTCACCATAACGTTTGAACCACGAGAGATAGAGATTTCATATTTGGTATGCATACTCCACTAATCAAGTTCTTTCGATTGACACCAAGGTCAATGACGTTGTGACCTTGACTGTGACCTATATGCTAAAAATAGCTTATTTCGAACTTAGTTGCCGCCGGGCGCATAGTGTTTCACAAACACATCTTGTTCATTCAATTTTAAGGTTAGTGTTTGAAAAAAAAAGTCCATTTTATTCAGTATTCCATTTTAAAAAGATTTCAATTGTATAATTAATACACTTTCATTTCGGTAATATAGAGTCCAAAAAAAAAAAAAACTCCTCGACCATTTCGTCATTTCAACTAATTAAACAACTTGATGTTAAAACTTAAATGCATGCAGTGATATGGTTTGTTTAGACAATGTATTATCAATTGCAGAATTTTCAAATAAGATTTTTCGTCATTTGCTAAATTCCACAGAAATAATAAATGAGCCTTCCAGGCTAAAAATACTTGCAGAAAATATGAATTCAATATGAAAAAAATAAGACTAAAATTAATGTTCTTGTACCTGCATATCTGTTTATAGAACATTCAAAAAGATTTTTTTTACATTTAAAAAAAATCATTACATGATATTTAAGTAAAATGAATGAGATAAACTGCATAAATTTCGATTTTACATTCAAAGTTCCCCAATAATGTACATTGTATTTTAAGATGATGAAAGTTGTATTTAGATTTTAAGGTTAATGACTAAAGGGTAGAATTTTGAACATTACATTATGTGGGAAGTATACAACTTTTATATATATATATATATATATATATATATATATATATATATATATATATATATATATATATATATATATATATATATATATATTTTTTTTTGATATTTGCATCATTCTTGTAATACAAGCCAAATAGGTTCCTCAATTTACACCAATGCAGACATGCCTCCAATTGTATGTCTGTGCTTATAGCAGGTGTCCTTTGATTTTTGTTTTCATTTTTTTTTAATATTCCAAAACAATCACAATGTGGTGTTTTCTGAAAAAAATGTCATTCCCCAACTTATAGAGAGAGAGAGAGAGAGAGAGAGAGAGAGAGAGAGAGAGAGTCATGGAAAGATTTAAAAGGTTGTACTTTTAATTTGTTAAGCGGTTTAAGTGTTGGTCTATGATGTAACATAAGAATTTAAACATGTGGTATTTGTTGTTATTATGTTCAGTTTCTTATTTTTGCCTAAGAAAGATTTTCTTTCTTTTTTTCTTGAACCAAATTTCAGCAGGGGGTGGGGGTGTGGAAAAAAACCTCTGATTATCCTTGGCAGTGCGTTTGGGGTTGAAAAAGTATTTATAATACATGAAATAGGTGATCATCAGTAATCTAAATGTTTAAAGACTGAGAGTAGAACTTGCCATCACAAAAAAACCTAAATATGGATCCCTGTAGGACAGGAAGTCAAAGGTTGTGAAGACCTGTAGAAAGGGAAATGAAGGGAAGGAAACAGACACTTGGATTTTAACTTGCAGAGAGAAAGAAACAGATCAAATATAGAGAGGACTATTCATGTAAATATACGTTTTTATATGGAGAAACGGAATTGAGCCGTGGAAGTTGATCTACAGGACACATTTCTCAATGTGTTTCCGTTTTTAATGTCCCCGTAAACGAAGTTTCGGGGCTATATAGTTTTTGTCGTGTCCGTCCGTCTGTCTGTCTATAGCTGTCTAGCTGTCTCTCTTTCTGTCTGTTTGTCTGCAAAAACTTTAACCTTGGCCATACCTTTTGATTTAGTGGAGCTATGACATTCATATTTCACACGTGTTTTCCTCGTGACAAGCCCTTTCTTTGGATACCACCAAATTTGACCTTGACCTTAGAGTTTGACCCACTTTTACACAAAATTTTTTAACTTTTACTTTGGCCATATCTTTTGAACATTAGATACCAGGACTTTTATACTTAATATATGTAGTCTTTGTGGCAAGACCTTTCATTGAGTACCAACAACTTTGACCTTGACCTTGTAGATTTCCGTACTTATGAAAAAAACTTTAACCTTGGCTATTACTTATAAATGGTAAGGGCTTATACTTCATATATGTAATCCTTGTGAGAAGACGCTGTATAGGATACCAAGAACTTTGACCCTTTGACGTTGACTTTGTAGTTTGATCTACTTTTAAAATACAACCTTGATATAATTTAAGGGTTAGAACTAGGGCTTTCATACTTCACATATTTAATCATTGTGACAAGACCTTTCATTTGATATCAAGAATCTTGACCTTTTGACCTTGACCTTGGAGATTGACCCATTTGTACACAAAAAATCCAGATTTATATTTTGGCCCTAATTTTTAAACGGTAGAAACTAGGAACTTCATATTTCAAATGTCAATTCTTTGCGGAAAAACCTTTCATTTGAAACCAACAATTTTGACCTTTTGACCTTGACCTTGGACATTTCCGTACTTGTGAAAAAACTTTAACCTTGACCATAATTTTTGAACGGTAAGGGCTTTCATACTTCACATATGTAATACTTGTGAGAAGACTTTTCATTGGATTTCAACAACTTTGATCCTTTGACCTTGACCTTGAAGTTTGACCAACTGTTTACAAACTTTAACCTTGTCCATAACTTTTCATCGGTAAGGGTCAGCACTTTCATACTTCCCATATGTAATCTTTTAGACAAGGCCTTTCTTTAGAAACCAACAACCTTGACCCTTTGACCTTGACTCCGGAATTTGTCGTACCTTTAAAAACGTTAACCTTGGTCTTAACCTTTGAACAGGTGGTGATAGGGTTTTATATTTCTCATTTGTATTTCTTGTGGAAAGGCCTTACTTTAGGTACCAACATATTTGATTTGCATTTGAGAAAGCTTAACCTTCGCTATGTTGCCATACGGGGGCATCAGTGTTTCACAAACACATCTTGTTTAAATCTGTAACAAAACATTTGCCTAGTGGGTCAGTGTTATGAAAAATGCATCCAAAACAGTAACATCTCAGTCATTTTGTCAAGTCTAATCGCAAAGCTTCAGTGACGTTAAGGTTTCGTCAAAGGTCAACATGACTAAAAAATTATTTTTACAATAGCTCAAAACTATATGTGGTATAAAGTCAATACATTTACAGTTTATAAATATATAATTGATTAATAAATAGAAAGTATCGCTTCATAACAAATATGTTTAAAAAGATATTTTTTGAGAGAAATTGTATCAGAAAATATGCATATTGAAAGAAAAATGCACCTGCTTAATTCTGTCTTTTTTGTGAAAACTATCATTGCAGAAATAATATATGTTTATCATTGAAGGGCAAGTTGGACATGAATGGTCTCTGAAAGGCTGTTATTGAAAGCATGACATGTATAAAGACAAGACCCCTATAACATACGCCATTTGCAATGTACTTTCACTTTCAAGTCTTAATATTTGGACAAAATAAACAAGGAAAACAACTTTCCAGAGGCTATCCAAGTCCAACTTGTCCTTCATTGATAAACATATTTTGTTTCTGCAATAATGGTTTTCACTAAGAGCGCGGAATTAATTATGTGTATTTTTTGAAAATATATGCATTTTTAAGAATAATTTTTAGCAATTAATATTTTTTCCAAGTATTTTTTTATCATGATACTTTCTATCTGTTAATCAATGAAAAATTTATAAACTGTAAAAGTTTTAAACTTTATACCCCATATGGTTTTGGGGCTATTGTAAAAATAAATTTTTGGACATGTTGACCTTTGACGAAACCTTAAAGGTAATACAGTGTACCATATTATATAAACCAGTTTTATTGTTTGAAGAAAGAATAGGACCTAAGTGAAATAACATGAGGGAGGAAAAAAAATCAATTATGTACTATAGAAATCTTAGCATTGATTTTACAAAAATTTATTGATATAGGCAAGCAAATCAATGACTCATTTGTACAATAAAATGACTCAAATGTGTATGCATTTAAGCTTTCAAGAATAAGTCCTTCCTTGCTTCCCAGCTCGATAAAAATGGACTACCCAGCCGGATGCGCACAAGAGGACTCAATGCAATGTCCTGATGTTGGTTGTTTAGCGGTTCATTAATCCAGGATATTACATTAAGAAGATTGGAAGAAAGGGTAGCCCAAAGTTTAAAGTTGGTTAAAGGCTGTGTACGTGTACAGGACACGTATCTTAAAGATAATTTAACGAATGCTCATAGAAGTTTGGAAATGTAAAGAAAAATTCTATAGAAAGGTTATTGAAATTCTTTCCTGCAGACACATGCCCTCTATGCACAGTGCTGAAAGGGTGAACTTAAAAAAAAAAGAAAGACTGAACACGTAATTATTAATCTGTGTTAAAAATGTACCAATGAAATTTCTATAACTCTGCGTTTTTCTTTTGATACTGACGAAATGATCTCATTGATATCTTGAGATGCGAAAAATTAGGCCAAAAAATGTTACCAAAAATGTCAGGAGAGCAAAATTGTCTTGTGATATTTATTTTCTTCATTTTTAGGACCAGTTAAATAAATAACAATAGTTATACCAGGTATTGTAATTACAGTTTGTTTCCTGATAAAATTAAATATATTTAAGCTTTAAATTTAGACTGTAGTAACTTTTGTTTGACCAATTCATGGCCATGACTGATGCTGATAAAATAAAGACCATTTCAAGAAGGTTGCAGAAAAGAATGTAACACTATACGACAGGCAAATCAAAATAAAGGAATGTGCAAAGTGTGAAATGATAACTGTTAAACCACACATAGGTTTTTTACAGAAAATGTTAACTTAAATCCCAAGCTGCTGTTTTTAGAGTTGAGTATATACATGTTTGTGCATAAACATTCATGTCAGTGGTGCAATTTTTTATGGTTTGCTTCCCAACTTGATAAATATCATTTTTGTGCTATTTTGACAAGATTTTTTTTCTCGAAATAAATCAATCATTTACTGGATCTATCAAGTTTTCAAATTCATACACCCATGTCATCAAACCAGATGTGTTTTTTTTTCGGGGAGGGGGGGGGGGTTAATTAATTATAATTAAATTCTGAAAAATGTATCACCATTGAGACTATGGAACATGTTCTGATGTTTCTTTGCAATTCTACTTTAGAGTTCCACACTCTTAGTCAGGAGTGCAACAAATTGCTAGAAAAAAAACATGTATTAGTAATAATTTCACGGTGTAAAATATTACCTTTTTGGACTTAAATTAGTGTTAATTAGCCTTTTGAACTTTGTGTAAATTGTTAAAAAAAACTTTTCTCATGTTCAACAAAAAAGATTAATTCTACAAATTACGCACAGCTTTATTCCTACCTGAAGCACAATCAGATCGAGATGGACAGTTAATCTCTTAATTGACTTCTGTTTACATTTGTTGACATATTCTTTTTCCTACTTTAATTATATTACTTGTATATACATGCAGTTAAAATGTCATCATTTGCTCAATACTTGTTTGATTCACGGTGTTTCTATACTTTTTTTGTTAATCCTTCTGTTTTGGTTCAGTATGTATATGTTTTGTTGTTAAAAGATTATATTCAGTTAAATTGAATGAAAAACACTACATGCTAATTCTATATTAAAGTGGGGGAAAATGTAACGCCTGTTGTTTAATGAATCTTAATTGGTTCAAGAGGAACAGAAAAATTCACGGTCGACCCAGAAAAAAGTATTAAAACCTGGACAAATCAACCCATAATACTAGTAATTAATTTTAAAATGAAATGTTGGTTTGAATGGTTCTTTCCCATGAAGTAAAATGTCTGATAAAGTATTCATTTGTCTTCTTTACTTTTTCTTAAAGCTGTAAAGTTTAATGACATAAATAAAGAAACAATTCGTGATATAAAAATTAAATTTAAACAATTTCATGCTTTTTAATCATGAAAATTATTGGGACCTTTAAAATATTACACAATATCAATACAACCTAATTTTGCCAAAACTTTCTAACCTTTTAACTTTAACATGTTTAAATCTGTTCAAAATCTGTTCTTAATTTTCAAAAATAATTATTACTGAAACAATTAGAAAACTTTTAAAGCATCGTACACAAAGTAAACCAATGAAGTGTAAGTATTGTGGATGCTTACTAGGGAATCTATATTAGATAGAACCCCAGAGTCAAGAAACAAACTTAGATTCAAGTCAAATTTTCATTCGTCTGTAATATTTTTATTAATATTTTACTTAATCTCTAAATTTGCATATTTCAACACTTTTAACAGAAAATATCCAAATACATTTTGATTTTAGACTGTTTGACTTCCACAATATTTAAGTACAACCTAAATATTGTGACTTAAGCTTAAGATTTTTCATGATCCCGGGGCCATGTATTCTTATGATCAACGAAAAGAAAAAAACTGTTTATTATAAAAGAAATCTGAATTTTCTCTGTAGCAAAGTCGATATATTCCAGAAAAATCCTCACTTTATTGGGTAATTAACCGAACGTCACTATTTTCCAATTCTTTATTGGGTGTGTTCTTTACGTTAAAATTGCATTTCCCTCCTTTAAAATACATATCAAGTAAAGTAATTGGGATGTAGAATCCTACCTTATTTACGCTGAGAAAAAAAAATATATAATGAATATATTTTTCATTAAATAAAAAAGGAAATATCTTTCGAATAAATGCTTTCCAACTCAACAGGGAAAAAATACAATACATATATAACTAATTATACATACCTTGATGCCGTGGCGTTCATGTTCACTATAATCTAAATACTGCCAAATAAGAAATGTAACTCTTTTGTTATTCGTATTCTGCAGCCATTATCAATATGGCTACCCGGCCAACGTGGAAAGAATAGAACCGGGCAAGTTGAGTGCAGAGAAGTGTGACGTTGTATTCAATACAGCTTATTACACATGCGTGTGGAAAACCTCTGAAAAAGTCAGTCAACTGGAGAATTAAAAATAAACCATTAATTTATAAATAGTGGTGTGAAGGGTTTTACTTGAGGTATTTAAATTAAAACATCATTTCCCGAACGGTCCACACTAGTAGGATGTGCAAGTGAAAGGTGACCTGAAATTTTCATATTTTTCTTCAATATTCTTTGTAAGGTGTTGTCCTTTCGATTTAAAGTGTATGCTTTTAGGGGAGTTATTGAGCTAATTTAACTTGAAATTTTGTCGTGTTTACTTATTTGTATGGATGGGATGTGTAGTTTACTAGACAGTATTTATACATAATCACTGTTCCTACTTCTGATTTGGAACAGATATAAATTCAACGATTCATCGTTTAAGCACTATTATTTAAGGTGTATATTTGATATTAAAAAATTAGCTCCCTATTTTTTATATGAAGAAAAATTTCAATTTTAACCTAACGCAGGTACAATATATACAATGCAGGAATCTATCCGCGAATTGAGGACGGAAATGCCCAGGGGAAAAAATTCAAAGAAAGTTGGGAACCTGTGTGTTTCATGCCGGGCTTATTTTTGTAAAGGGGTGTCTCTAGCTATTTTATGTAAATGTATATTAATTGCGGTCTTTGAAAAAATGTGCCAAGCTTGTCTTCAATACAAAGATATATCTCTGGTTTACATGTAGTTCAGACGCTTAAGTATTAGTTTCCACATTGTTTAACACGCTTCTTGACACCCTTCAATAACAAACATACTCAACTAAGTATATACTCTCATTGTTATTCATTATTTACTTTTGCCTTGAACTTTCAATATAAGGAAATAACCATTCATGCATGCTTTTGTACCCATTACTTTCCCCTTGAATGAGGTAATCACGTGACACACTAGAATATTGGCCTACAAATTTATAGGAAAATAAAAATCTATAATTTAGAAAAAAATTACAATGTATTAACAAGTTTGTACATGTAAAATACAGTATATTTATTGACCGGGATTTCAATTTCTTTTTTCTACCTTCATGTTTGTCATTAAAACGTAAATTGCTGAATACCTCAAACAAAAATTAAAATTCGGTATACAGTTACATGTATGTGCTGCTTGCACTTTATGGCGATTTTTTTCTTTGATTTTCGCTTGCAGCTAGGCAACTATATATGTATAATTATATGTATAAAAGTTACTACGGGAAACGTGTTTATTATGTATAGGTCTTTCGGTAAGGAGATCGATTGGTTGTTCATTGTTTATTAACGGGTGAAAATATTAATTGTATCCATTGCTAAGCGTGATGCTGTCATGTATAAGATATATTTTCGGGTGTTTTAAATCATTCGATGTTCGTTGCTCCTTTGCAACAGAAACCCACCCCACCCCTCCCAGTATTGATGATTCGTACATGTTTTAATATGTTTGTTTTGATGTTGCTTTATAGAGTCTGTTTCTTAATTTTGTAGATGAGAGGTCGAACTAATGACTGCTTTGTCAGTATACTGTATAAACTTCATTAAAGTCTGATGAGAGCCAATCCTATTTTATGTATCCTATTTACATGTCCATTCAGCCTTTTAATTTTGCTTTGGTCGATTAATGATGTGGAAAATTATATCTAAACAATACTTAGTTACATAATTCTTCTGTTCATTTTTGACAAAAGGTGATGTCATGGGAACTTAAAATGTGAATTTCTTTAAATTCTTTCTAATTGTTACTCCAGAAATATGGTATTGTGTACATTTCTTTACAAAAGTCTCATTGAATAATAAAAACATTTTTATTTTGCCCTGACATTTATGAAATATAAGAACGTTTAATTTCGTAGAATTTGCTCAAATTGAAGGTTCTTCACACAAAATTAATAGTACAAAGCATCCTTAATGAAGGGATTTAATAATGACATGCAAATTTCAAATTATTCCTTAAGCATGGCTCCCTACAGTGTAATAAGAGATTAGACCTGGTACATTTTCGGGGGTTTTAAGTGATTATATGTCGACATGTTCGCAATCCATCTTTATACAGAATATAAGTTATATCTTTCAAATACATATATAATACGTTACAACAATATGTCATAATAAGCATCACTTTGTATCACAGGCACTTCATTGTATCGTTAATTAATTTTTTACCCCATAGTATTAATAAATTAATACTCTATATTATTATTATGAGTTTAAAAATAATTACCGAAACATGAAGAGTGTCTGAAGACAAAATTATTTTAATTCTTTGTTTTAGAAAAATCTAGCTTAAAATAAACCATTCGTATTAAGAGTGTTTTTACGTTGTGTGTTTTTAGTATACTATACTTTAGTAAGATTTTTTTTCTTTTTGTCTTCTCTCTCTCTCTCTCTTTTTTTTTATTAAAACAAGGCTTGTAATAAGAAATATCTCGCTCTGGCCGCACACAAAAAATATTGAATTCTCCGTCTGTTGTACAAATTAAAAATTAATGAAAAGATTGGTCTGTTACTAATTTAGTCCCACGGCATAGACTGGTGAATGTCGATGGAAGCTAAATGCCCATACATACGCATTACCTATTATTTCAAGGTATTATAGACCATACAATAATTATGATGCTGTCTTGTTTGTAATTTCGATAACATATGGTCATTTCTACGGCCAAATGATTTCAACATTCCACAAGATGGACACCCTCGGGACTATTTATAAATTTGTTTCTGGACATGAGGAATCTCATTTCAGACCTACGTGTAATTCTCATTAAATGGTTAACTAATCAATAGATATAATATATATGCCCAATATTTAGGGTAGTTTTTTTAAGGGGGGGGGGGGGTATCCTCATACAACCTGTCAGGTGATTTTTTTTTCTAATTCTCGTTGAATAAACCAGAAAAATTGCGCGGAAACGTGCATTAAAAATCCCCGATCAAAGCTAAAACACACAGATTTTATAGAAACCAGTCAAGACAAGTTTAGCTCTTGAAAATAATACAATCTTGCGTAATTCAATCGTTGATCGTTACATAATGTTGAATCAAAGTCTAAGAGCCGTGTCACCTTTGTCCAAAATCTGCTCTTAAAACATGCCCTTAAGGTAATGAGTAATTAAAATATATCACAATCACAACCAAATTATCACGTTCATTAATAGCGAAGATGCAATATTTGCATAACATTTTCAAGATAAAAATAATGAAATTTTAATTAGAGAATGGTGGGGATATGCAAAAACATGTTTTGTATTTAATTCATCTTCATGCTAAATTGAGAACACGAAAAAAAAATAAAAATAGAGCGAAATAAAACCAGTATACTTGTGATAATGATGTTAAGCAAATAAAGAATAATAAAAATGGTGCTGTCACTGATATTTTAGTGAAATTTGGAAACTGCATTTTCTTTTTCTTTTATAATTACATTATATTTAGTTTATACCAATATTTTGCATTAAATACTTTTGAAATTTCATTTTTACTTCTTCCACCTCCGACATTTTCAGGTTGCCATGTTTTGTATTTAACATCAGGAATCTAAAAAATTAAATTCCTCAAAATAGGGATAAGAACAGCATATTATGATGTGATTTTCAATTAAGACCATGTACATGTATGGTCTGAGCAAATCTTGTGTCCGTCTGAAAAGTAATATTACATAATTATATATTTTTTCCAAATAAGAGCGGGTGTAAAGCAAGGTGATAATCTCAATCCAAATTTATTTTAAATATTCATTAATGATCTTCCCAGAGTATCTTAACTCAGCCCCTGATGCTGTGATTTTCAACTCGCACCCTCTTATTTGTTTGATGTATGCTGATGAACACGTTTTGTTTTTAATGTCATCCTCAGCTAATGGTTTACATAAAAAAAAAAATAAATATCCTACACAGATACTGTATGGAGTGGTGTGTAAATAATAAATTAATATTTAGACACCAGTCCATACAATATCTATGTAGGAATTCATTTTTGATGTAAACCACAAGCGCGCATCATGGAATATGCCAGCAGAGCAATTGCTATAATTCATAACGCCATGTTCACTGAATAACGTTGTTAAAATATTTCAAAAACAAAGATCGTTATCTTCAATAAAGTAGGCAGGTTGGTAAAAAAAAATCTTTTTTGTTGATACATTTATTGAACTTGATTGTGTCCAATGACAAATACATGTACCTTGGGGTTTCATTTAGTACCACCGTTTTAAAAGCAACTATATCAAAAAGTTCTTAAAGCTTTATTCAATCCAGTGTCTGCTCTAGAGTCACGAAGTACGGAGTCAACCCTTACCTCGCAGATTCGAATCCCACTGTGGGACGTGGAGACCGAACCTTCGGATGAGACCGTATAATCTGAGGTCCCATGTTGCAGTAGGTGCTGGTACGAAAAAGGTCCCTCAATGTCCTGGGTGCCGAGTATAGGACAAAATTTGTAGTTTTCCACCGGTAATTGTGGCGTCTCCATATCAGTGAAAAATTCTCGAGAGGGATGTTAAACAATATACAATCAATCAAATTCAAGAAATACATTATCTCATTAAACCCTGATATCAAAACCATTACTCATATATTTGACACCGTTCATGGTAGCCCAGTCAGTAGAATACTCGCTCGGTAGTGAGTTCGAATCTCGGCCTGACCGCGACTGACTTTAGTCGATAGCAACTGTTCCTTATCATGCGCTCGGCACTTGAGGTGAAAGTTGCGGGTCCTTCGGATGAAAGTTAAACAACCGAGGTCCCGTGTCTCGGCGTTGGCATGATAAAGATCCCTCATTGCTCAATGGCCCTGAGTGCCGAGTAAACTTTAAGGTCAAAATTTGAAGCTCTTCATCAGTATATGGTGACGTCTCTACATGAGTAAAAAAATTCGCGCATTGGACGTAAAACAACATATACAATCAATCAATCGTATATTTGACCACACTATCAATCCAATATTAAAATCTGAACATTTTATTGGAGAGTAAATATAAAAAGTGTCTCTTATAAAAAAAAAATCGT